CCAAGCTTAATTTTTACCTGTCCACTCTGGAGTCAGTGGGAGTCTTAATTGGGGCTTATTTTGTGGGGTAGGACTTATATTGGGCACATGTGTTAAAAATCAAGCTTGGGCTTACTTTCAGGTCGTATTTTCCGGGGGAACACGATCATTTCTCCCAGATTTCTGCTCACTTCATTGCTTCTAAAGGAATGCAAAAAGCTAATATTATTTTCCCCTCGTGCTTTGGTTCCTCCCAGTTCCCCGAAAGCTTCTTGCTCTTTGCTTCCCAATCTCCCCAAATACCCTGTTTTCTCCAAAATATGACTACGAAAAGGAGGCCGGTGGGGGGAGGCGACAGACGCAAGTGAAGTGAATGAGTGGGTGACATCCCTTGAAAATAAGACCTGGTGCCTTTTTTGGTGGCCCCAAATATATATATTGGTGCCTTTTTTGGTGGCCCCAAATATATATATTGTTACCGTGTTTCCCCGAAAATAAGACAGTGGGGGGGATAAGCTGGTATAAGATTGCAAATATAAGATGGGCCACTGTTGCTTAGACAGGGTCTTATTTTCGGGGAAACACGGTAACAATAATAATGTCCTTTACATTTGTAAAATGTTTTTTTTTCTTTTTTCTTAGGATAGAATTGGTACGATTATATGATTTGTTATAGAATAAATTACTTAAATTATAGTTATCTCATAAGGCATGATTGAATAAAAGTATAGTCAAATCTTTTTTATTTTTTTTCAATAATGATATGAGGATATATAAGTTTGGATTGATAATAAGAGTTATTATGTAATGTAATTGTAACTGTGGCTACGAAATGAATGCACAAAACTGATGAACCAACCGACACACTGTTTGTATATAAGTATGGAAGAGAGCTGGTGCTTTTATGTTTTGTTTGTTTGTTTGTTTGTTAAAAAAACCAATAAAATTGTTTCAAAAACAAACAAACAATAATAATGTCCTCATTTCTCCCCCTGCCATCCCTCTCCAAAACCTTGGAATTTAACCGAAACGAGGAAGCGACCGAAGGATCAGGCTGCACAATGCAAGGAAGGCAAAGTTCTTCCACGTGTCCACTCCTCACCCAGCTGATAAGCCAGATAAGCTCCACGCATCTGGAGGAGGGGATTGCCTGAGAAAGGGGAGGGGTGGAGGCCCTGTTGAATGGGGAGGAATATGTTGGGAATTCCTTAGGGCAAAAGGGGGGAAAAAAAAGTTTCTTTTTCTTTTCTTTTCTTTTCTTTTCTTTTTTTTGCGCAGAGGAGAAAACTTTGGGGAAATTGAAAACAGATTTTCACATGGTGTCACTTTAACGTATGGAATAGACATCAGATAATGAAAGCATCTGACGGAGCCCATGAAAAGGAAAGGAAGCGTAGAATCTGAAGCAACTGGGCCTATTTCCTTCCCTTCCTTTTCTTTCCTTCCCCTCTTTTTCTTTTCTTTTCTTTCCTATCCCTTTCCCTTCCTTCCCTTCCCTTGTAACACCCAGAATTGTTAGTTTTTTAAAAAATGATTGGATTAAAGAAGCTTTCCTTTCCCTCTTCCTTCCCTTCCTTTTCTTCCTTTCCTTCTTTCCTTTCCTCCCTCCCTCTTTCCTTTCCTTCCCTTCCTTTCCTTTACTCCCTTTCCTTTCTTTCTTTTCCTTTCCATTCCCTCTTCCTTCCCTTTCTTCTCTTCCTTCCCTTCTTCCCTTCCCTTCTTTTTCTTTTCTTTCCCTTCCTTTCATTTCCTCCATCTTTCCTTCCCTTCCCTTCCTTACCTTTTCTTTACTTTACTTTCTTTCCTTTCCCTATTCCTTCCCTTCCCTTCCTTTTCTTCTTTCCTTTCTTCACTCTTCCCTTCCTTTCCTCCTTCTTTCCTTTCCTCCCCTTCCCTTCCTTTACTCTCTTTCCTTTCTTTCCTTTCCTTTCCCTCTTCCTTCCCTTTCTTTCCTTCTTCCCTTCCCTCCTTTTTCTTTTCTTTTCCTTCCTTTCCTCCCTTTCCTTCCCTTTCCTTTCATTTCCTCCATCTTTCCTTCCCCTCCCTTCCTTACCTTTTCTTTACTTTCCTTTCTTTCCTTTCCCTCTTCCTTCCCTTCCCTTCCTTTTCTTCCTTTCCTTCTTTCCTTTCTTCCCTCTTCCCTTCCTTTCCTCCTTCTTTCCTTTCCTTCCCTTCCCTTCCTTTCCTTTACTCCCTTTCCTTTCTTTCTTTTCCTTTCCATTCCCTCTTCCTTCCCTTCCTTCCCTTCCCTTCTTTTCTTTTCTTTCACTTCCTTTCATTTCCTCCACCTTTCCTTCCCTTCCCTTCCTTCCCTTTTCTTTCCTTTCCCTCTTCCTTCCCTTCCTTTTCTTCCTTTCCTTCTTTCCTTTCTTCCCTCTTCCCTTCCTTTCCTCCTTCTTTCCTTCCCTTCCCTTCCCTTCCTTCCCTTTTCTTTACTCTCTTTCCTTTCCTTTCCTTTCCTTTCCTTTCCCTCTTCCTTCCCTTCCCTCCCTCCTCTCGGCTGAGAAGGCCTGACTGCAGCCTGCCTCGGCTGGAGTCCGGCTTGAAGTGCCTCCATTCGACATGATCCATGACCCTTGCAAACAATTGCAGCAAGCAACTCGCTGTTCCAGCCTCACCCCAACATTTTGGCAAAGGAGATACTCAAGAATGTAAAACAATGCTAGCCGACTCTATTCTGCAGGAGCGGAGGAATGTCTTCCATCCTGCCCTCACCACACAGAAATAATCTCCAAGGACTTGGGCTGGTTTCATCTATACCCACCTTCTCTCTTGGTGCTCTCAACCGTTGTCCTTTTATCTTGAATAGAATAAAATGGAATAAGAAAGACAGACTTCGGCTGCTTCTGCTGCTTTCCTTGCACAAAGCCAAAAGTCTCTCCTCTCTCTCTCCCCCTGAGAACAGAGCTGGAGACGGTATCCTGCGATCCCAAATAAAGAACGATCGATCGATAGGAAAATGGAGTGGATAGACTTTTGGGGGGATTTTTCCCAGGGCCTCTGGTCTGCAGGATTTAAAATTATGAGTTTGGTGGTCCCTGAAGTCCAAAAGAATAGAATAGAAATAGAACTGAATTGAATATAAAATTGATTATAAATTATAGATTACAGAATATAGAATATAGAATAGAAAGGAATAGAGTAGAATAGAATAGAATAGAATTTAATAGAATAGAATAGAATAAGAAATAGAATAAAAGAATAGAATAGAATAGAATAGAAAATAGAAAATAGAAAATAGAAAATAGAATAACAGAGTTGGAAGGCACCTTGGAGGTCTTCTAGTCCAACCCCCTGCCTAGGCAGGAAACCCTACACCACTTCAGACCAATGGTTGTCCAACATCTTCCTAAAAACTTCCAGTGTTGGAGCTTTTACAACTTCTGGAGGCCGGTTGTTCCCCTGGTTAATCGTTCTCCCTGTCAGGAGATGCCTCCTTAGTTCTAAGTTATCTTGATCCTTCTCCTCTCCTGACGCAAATCTAGCAAACCCCTAGGAAGGAGAGAGGGGGATTTAACCATTTTAGACAAAGAGGGCATAGAAAGGGAACTCATCAAATTCGCAAACAACACCGAGATGTCGGGAATAGCCAACCCTTTGGAAGATGGAGCGAAGGTGCAGAGGGATCTGGCCCTTATCCAGCAAAAGACAATTTAGTGGTGAGGAAAACAAGATTTCTCACTTAGGCAAGGGGGAAAAAAAGGCAAATGCACAACGACAGAACAGGTAACACCTAGCTCAGTTGCAGTGCCTGTGAGAGGGATCCCGGAGCCCCAGCGGACAACCGTTTAAGCATGAGCCAGCCATGTGCGGCAGCTGCCCCAAAGGCCAACGCAATCCTAGATTGCATCAACAGAAGGAGAACATCAGGATCACAAGAAGTATTAATTCTATTTTATGCTGCACCGGTGTATACATTTGGAATAGTGTGTTCAGGTTTTGGTCACCCCAATACAACCAACCATGTGGAGACCCTGGAAAGAGTGCAGAGAAAAATTTGAATCCCACCCCTGGTTGCCCCAAAGAAGAGGGGATCCATCTACGCTCCAAAGCCCCTGAAGGCAGGACAAGAAGCCATGGATGGAAACTAAACAACCTGGAATTTTCCTGACAGCGAGGACAATTAATCAACAATTCACATGCCTTGAGAAATTGTGGGGGCTCCATTTCTGGAGGTTTTCAAGACGAGGTCGGACCACCTTTTGTCTGAAACAATATAGGGTCTCCTGCTGGAGCTGGGGGCTGGACTAGAAGACCTCCAAAGTCCCTTCCCATTCCGTTATCCTGTATCCTCTGTTATCCTACGTCTTGAGCAGGGGAAGTCTGGACTACAAGACCTCTAAGGTCCCCTTCCCACTCTCTTATCCTGTCTAAAAGCGCCTCTTGCTTGAGTAGGGGGGGCAGGGTTAGACTACAAGACCTCCAGGGTCCCTTCTTCGCCACTCCCGCCATCCTGCCTTCGGGATCGAAGGATGGGGGCGTCCAGATGGTCTCAACGGGCGGGGGGGGGGGCTTTCCCAGTCGCCGCCTGCGGGACAGTAACCAGGGGCGGCTAAGCGGCGGGGACCTAAGACCCTCCCCCGCCCCCTTCCTTCTCGGGGTCGGGGCTGCGCAGAGTAGACGGGGAGGAGGAGGAGGAGGAGATGGTGGATCGACTCAGCTGCTGCGCAAAACAGGGGAAGCAGCAGCAGCAACAGCAGCGCCTGCCCGGCGGATCGCGATTCCTCTTCTTCCCCCCCCCTCCCCTCCTCTTCCTCCTCCTCCTCCTCCTCCTCCCTCGGGGGGTCTCCCGTGCCAAACGGAGGCTTAAGCAAAGCCAGATGGCGGGCTGGGCTTGCAACAGCCTCAGCAGCCGGGACTTCAGCTGACAGTTCCCCCCCACACACACACCGTCTCCCCCCGCCCGCTCCTGCCCGCTGCGCGCCGCTTTGCGCGGAGCCCGGGCTTGCAAAGAAGCAGCTGCAGCCTCCGGCAGCCGGTGGAGGGGAGAGAGAGAGAGAGGGAGAGAAACCCGGCCATCCCCGGCCCTGAGAAACGAGGCCGGCCGGCCAAGCATGAAGAATTTGCAGCTGATGGAAGCGGCGGCGGCGCCCCCCCGCTGGAAGCGCTTCTGCCTGAAGGAGTTGCGCGGCATCCAGAAGCTGAAGCGCAGGAGCCGGCCGGGCTTAGGAGGAAGGATGGGAGGCGCGGGGCAAGCGGGGGTCCCGGAGCAGCAGAAGCAGCAGCATCAGCAGCATCAGGAGGCGGCGCGGCCGCGACCCCCGGGCTTCCCCCCCGGAGGCGGGCGAGGCGTCGGGGCTCTGCCGGGGGTCGCGCCCTTCCCAGCGGCGTTGCGCTGCCCGAGGCCGCTTTTCCCCGAGGAGGAGGAGGAGGAGGAAGAGGAAGAAGAAGAGGAGGAGGAGGAAGAGGCGCCGCCGTCCTCCGCGGGGGTCCCCAAGAGCCCCTCGCCCGCCGGGACCCTCCCCGCCCGGCTCTTGTATCACGGGGGTCTCCAAGGCGGCGCCGCCTCGCCTCGCCAGCGCCCCAGCGACCCGGCCGGCGGCGGCAGTAGCGGCGGTAGTAGCGGCGGCAGTAGTAGCGGCGCCGCCTCGGAGATCAAAACGCTGCAGCAGAGCCGGCGGCTGCTGGCCAACGCCCGCGAGCGGACCCGGGTGCACACCATCAGCGCCGCCTTCGAGGCGCTCCGCAAGCAGGTAAGGCGGCTGCGACCCCCCGACACGCGCACACGCATACACACACACCCATCCTCACCTCTCCGGGCTCCTGGGGAAGGTCGGAAACCCACCGCACACGCACAGGCACGCGCAGGCACGCACAGGCCGGGACCCCGGTGGGTCCAAAAATAGAGTGGACGATGGGACGGGATGTGGGGTCTCTGGTCTCGAGCAAGGGGCTCGACTAGAAGACTTAGGAGGTTCCCTTCCAACTCTGTTATTCGGAGGAGGAGGAGGAGGAGGAGGAGGAGGAGGAGGGTTCCCTGCTTTAAGACCTCTGAGGTTCCCTTCCCACTCTGTCATTCTGTATAAGGCTCCCGCCTTGAGCAAAGAGTCGGACTAGAAGACCTCTGAGGTTCCCTCCAACTTGACTACTCTGTATAAATCTCCTGTCTTAAGCAGAGGGTTGGAATGGAAGACCTCTTAGGTTCCCTCCAGCTTGACTATTCTGTATAAATCTCCTGTCTTAAGCAGAGGGTTGGACT